GAACGCGTCTGGTACCCAGTATATCGAGAGTGTGCAGCTGTCTGCAGAAACCAGAGTGCTATTTCTCCTCTCCTGTGGACACAAAGACCATTTATTTTTCAAAGAAAGTCCTGTAAATTCAGAATAGAATTTAAAATCTCTTCTGCACGCTACAAAGCTCTTCATAGTCGGCCCTATCATATCTTAAAGAGCTCCAATGGTACCCTATTAACCCCTCATAGAACATGTTTCTCTGAATGCATGCGGTTACTTGTGGTTCCTATAGTATCTAAAAGTCAGAACAGGAGCCAGAGCCTTCAGTTACCAAGCTCCTCTCCTGTGGAACCAGCTTCCAGTTTGGGTTGATGCCGTGAATGTCAATCGATATGCTAGTCAGTTGCAAACAATCACCCTCTGGATTCCTATGGAAAGTGTCCTTTGTATAGGCCTAGTCTATGCATATTAAATAATATTTTTACATTGTGAATTACCTGTGATTTCATAAAAAGCCCTTGTTGATCTGTATAACGAGTAAATGGGAACATAACAAATGCATTCAGGCTCTAGGCACAGATACTATATTCCCTCTGATGAGAACATCATTGGAGTAAACTAGAGCAGTGAGTCTCTCACAATCCATATGCCAATGTTTACTGAGTCTTGTGAATGTGCCAGCATTTTTCTCTGCAGACTGTGGGCGGAGGAGAGGAGGTTTATAGGGTAACCGAGTTAACCATGAAGATAATCTGCTTGGAGCAGTTTAGAAATGGAGAGTAATTGCTATGACAACATACCTCGGGTAAAACATAAACACCTTTTGTAGTACAAGTCCAGCTGGAAGTTACACCTGACGTCATACAGTTACTTGGATAAGCCAGTTACCTTGCTTCATAGTACAGCCCTCTGCTCGATTTGAAAAGTGACAAAAAAGCAGCCCCAGCAACACATTTGACATACTTGTACCAAAATCCATAGACACATGTATTAAAACAAGATCTCCAAAAAATTATTTTGGAGCCATACTTGAAACCCAACAGGAAGTCAGCCATTTTGCATTTAATGTGCAATTATGGTGCCATTTTTTCCATTTTGACCAAGTGTGAACCTATCATGGCATCACCCACTGGTTTGTGCAGGACCGTTTTGAATCCTCGAGTTTGATTTTATGGTTGTCGCCATGTCAGTTTGTTGGAGCCAGCGAGCTGAGCTGCTCTCATTGGCTGCACAGTTTCAACTCGTCCATAACAGGAAACAATTAGGGCTCACCTGGTCACACAATATCTCGTATTCCAGGTAAAAAGTAAAATTCAGTCATTGTCATAGCACTCCCTATTGGCATCATGAAGTAAGCCATATATGACAACCATGTGATTCCCATAAAATTTGCATGTTGTGGTGTACGTGTGATATGCTGATATGCCGCCCTGAGCAAACTGTGAGGGCCATCACAAGGGCCCAAGCAGCAAAGTGCTGCAAGGATCCTATTGAAACCTATTAGTGCTGAGCAGCGAAAGCTTTTTTTTTGCCACAGCTGAATGTTGTGCCATGTTTCATGAGTATCAAAGCATGTTTAGGCCACCAAAAAGGCCAGATTTTTCAGAGATTAAACAAATTGAAGAATTCCTGTAAATACAATAGGGTCCTTGCAGCGATTGCTGCTCGGCAGACCCACAAAATATTTTTTTTTCTCTTTGTCTTTTCACTGAGAAAAACGAAGTGGCTCAATGCCAACATTAACTAGGTTTCTGCTTCTGGGAGTTTGAGAGTCGCTACAGAGAGCAGAAGTGTTTGTCAGCAGCTTCACCCTGAAACCAACAGCAGATGTGCAGGTTGCAACCTGTTTGTCACTGTGTGTAACGTAGCAGAGACTCAGCAGTTCCATTAAAGTTTTGAATCCTCTCATGTTTCAGTTTGATGCAGACGAAAAGCTCTTTAGACTTTATTTGATAGATACGTTTGTTCATGATGTTTGAAGGTCTTTTCTCTCTTTAATACTCTGATCAGACTGTCTGTCCTCAGCTGTGAGCTCACTGAGGAAACTTCCTGTTTGATTTAATAATGTTAATGAGTTTTGACAATCTGAGGGAGCAGTTAAAGAGTTAATCTTCAGTAAAGTGAAGTCAAACACAGTTTACAGTCTGACAGTCAAATAAGAATCAAAATGTTGATTGACACTCACGGGTTTTCTTCTTTCTGCTGTCTGAACACACTGACTGAGCACCTCCTCATTTGTTCACTTCCTTATGACGTCCCTCTGGCTCAGGTGTCACTGAGTACCAGCAGTGAGTCTTTCTTGTTCAAACTAAACTCCCTCTGGTCAGTATTTTCTTCATTCCTTTTTGAGTGTGCAGACAGCTGAACATTGTGACAGTGACAGTGTGTACATTAAAATGCTGCTATAACATGCACATTATTAACAGCTTGCCTCGATCTCTATCCAAACCAAACCACCAGCCTGCATTATTCATCTGCACAACCTGAAAACAAATGTAGAAACCACAACCTGAGGGGGGACCAGGGTTCAACTGAGAGCTGACAGAAACATTCTGTGGGAATGGTTGACAGAAGTTTAGCAGGTCAGAATCAGACTGTTGTTCTTTGTCTCAGCCACTAGATGGAGGCAGAACTTCACTGATGGACAGAGAAGCTGCAGCTGGAGCATCAGGCAGAAATAAAAATCAGATTTCTGAGTGAAGATTAAACACATGATACATCGAGATACTGGAACAATCTGATGTAATGCTTACTTTAGTAAAATAATAATAAATAACACAGAAGAACTAATGAATACTGCTCAGTGCAGCATGATGTTTTCAGGCTGCAGGACCTTTGGGGTCTGGACCATATTTTTACTTGTTGAACTTTTGTTTAGTTCATCTTTGGGTGAACAAAAAGGGTAAAAATTGACATAAATCTGCAGAGTAGTCTGGAGAACAGGCAAAAAGCTGTGTGTGCTGACTGGAAGATGTTTGTTTTTGATGCTGAATGTCTCAACTGATTAATTTAATTAATTAAATTATTATTAATTAAACTGAATTATTAAAATAATTTATGTTGACTAGTTTTGTTTGTTATGTGCATTTTTTCTGTGAGCCTTTTTGTCTAACAGACAAGCTCCTAAACCAACAGCTCTGTGTGTGAGTCAGCAGCTACAGTTAGACTTTGGATACCAGAACTGATCTAGCCTGAAGTCTGTAGTTTTATTTTGAAAGTTGTGACCTGAAGAGTCTTCCTTTTAACACAGGGGTCTGAAACCTTGAATCATGTTTGGCCAAAAAGGGCACTGTATAACATATTTGAGCCTTATAATGCTAATGTCCCACTGCAGATCAAACACACCAATTGTTGGTAAAAGCAAACAAAGTTTATGGATCTGTATCTAGATCTGTCTATCATATCATATCATATAACAATTGAAATCAAATCTGTTAAATATGCAGTCTGTAAATACTGTCTGTATCTTTTACAAATACAAACCCATCACCACACTGGATCAGTGCTTCCCAACCATTTTCTATCAGTGAGTAAACTGACGACTGCTGACCAAGTGACCTATTTACTGTATATTTCATATCCTATTGATCAATAATGGCAGAGAAGAGCTGATCAACTAATCAATGAACCCAAACAGTGAACTCAGTAACTGCAGGAAGTTTGATTATTTCCTGTCAATATTGATCAAAGATGAGTTTCTCTGTCTGTATAACAATCAGACTTAATATTCTTCTTTCTGACACATTGTTTTATTCTCCCTGACACTCGCTCAGTTCTTTTAGCTCTTTGGTTGTTTGAACTTTTCTAATGCAGGATGACGCTGTTTATCAGAGAGTTGATCTTCAAAGTTTACATTTAAAATAACCACTGCCTCATACAGTACCATACCTTTGTGCATTTATTCCAGTGCACAGCTAGCTTAGTAATTTAGAGACTCCAGACTAGTAGCCACCACTAGAGGAGAACACAGGTCAGGACATAAGACCAGATCCCAACAAACCAAATGTGGGACAATGTGGGACACACCTTTATATAATATTATATTATATATATATATATTATATATTATATATTATATAATATATCAATAACTGTATATAATATATCAATAAATGTATATAATATATTAATAACTGTATATAATATATCAATAACTGTATATAATATATTAATAACTGTATATAATAATTAATAACTGTATATAATATATCAATAACTATATTTATCTGTTTATTTAATGTTATTCTAACATAATGATTTGTTATGTTGTATGTATGTAGCACTGTGTGTGACAGACAGACAGACAGACAGACAGTCAGACAGACAGACAGTCAGACAGACAGACAGACAGACAGACAGACCCTGACGTCCTCTCGTCCTCTAATTGATGACTAATGAGTTTGTTTGTTTTAGTAGAAACACTGAAGTGTTTACACAACACACACACACACACACACACACACACACACCCACACATTGTTCTGCTCTGTCTCTAAACGTGTGTTACTGTGTGTGTGTGTGTGTTTCTGTGTGTGTGT